TCACGGCTGACCAAGATTGATTTACGATTGTGTCTTACTCTGATTCACGATTTTCAAGGGCTTGCTCACTGTTGTCCCTGTATTTCTTAAAATGTCTTATGGTTACTACCAAAATCCGTTCAATTCCACACTCATGTCTTTTCGGTTACCACACCAGTTGTTTCCAACACCCAATTTGAGAGTATTCTAAAGAACATTATACTAGACCGGTAGTGTGTGCTCTCTAGTTAGCCAAATTCTAATCAAAAATCAGACATTAACTGAACAGAACTAGTACCAATTTTGGCGCCTTTCACTAGGTTACTCTTCAGGTGGTGCGGAGGTAACTTTTGTGTAATTACTATGCCAATTCTTTCATTTAGCTTCGAAACGTAATACGGGCAGATGGACAGTGGCTCAGATGTGATACTCTCTCCGTACTATGTCAATTGATTCTGATTTATTTAGCGTTCCCTGTATACAGTGTGTTGTGGTCATGAGTAAGCAACTCACAAATACAGCACTGTTGACCTCTGAACCACTCATGTTGTTTCATTTCTCTGAAACTTTCGATTGCCTGAAGCACTCTATCCTGTGGTATGAAAGTGTACCGCCTTCCCACATTCGCTCTTGGCTGTCGAGAAGTTCCGAACAAACCACACCTGAAATTTACACACAAATGCAATAAGTCATACAGAAAACCCTCACTTGTAAAAGAAATTGACCAAGTTGGTCACTTTAGTCGGGAAAATAAATAAATTCAGTTAAGAGAGGAATGATATTTGAACCGTAACACACAAGATATGGGGACACATTGATCTGGGAGTCAATACTTCTCAAATATGAGGCAGTCAAACATTGGAGACATGAAAAAATAATTTTGTCTCAGAAAACTACGGATATGAATTGACAAGAAAATAAAAGGTATTTTTTTCAAAATACTCAGTGGTGATTCTCAGGTTCCATTCCATACCTTATCGGAAGACTTCCTAATCACGTAAGGTAAAAGCTTTATGCACCTCTAGGAGTGAGTAATTGGGCTTACGGCAACGTTTTCAGTGGATCAGTTCCAATATCTGACCGCCACTTTTAGGCTTCAAGTGCTGAACGACGCTGAAACCCGTACCCACATACTATCTCAACTGGCAAGTTTTCAGTAGCTCATCTCTCTTATTCTCACGGACGGGAACCACAAACAGACACAGAACGCTCTATTCAGCAAGCAACATCAACAAAATGTTGCGCATTAGTATCGAAATATATTGCTTCTTATGAATATTCCATCCACAGTCACTGAAATTCGCATTCTTTTAAAACCTTTTTTAAAAAGCAAAGGCAAATGTCCTGTGTATCTCAGCAGGTGACAAATCAACCGTGTTACGGTAACCATAGAAACATGCATTATCGACACAATGGACGAAACATTTGGTCTGTGATTAGTAACTCGAATTTATTTGATAACTGTATGTAGTTCTCTTTACTTCTGGTCTTGATCCTGAGAGAGAATTTATCCTGTCGATAATTTATTGATGCTTTGGTTTCCAATTCTTTCAATATAAACACAACTAGAGTTGAACTTTCTCAGGAGAGGGGAAAAGCTTACCAGTTCCCAAAATAATAACAATCAAATAGTTGGTTCGATTTACTTGGTCACTGCCTAGTATTGCTGTAATACATATTCTCTACACATATGATACGTTCATAATTTGTTTCTGTATGAGTAACGATTTAAGCCTGTACTGGAATCAGCCGAACACAAAATAATAAGCAGTCTATCCGGAAAATTATATATTTTGTGTCTGGTTCACTCCGTCACATGTGCGCGCACACGAGCGCATACACCTACAAACACTCTGGTATTGGTAAACCTATTTCATCCCGGACAGGGCCGACTAATCGATGTTGACTCTGACCGATGGACCTTGCGCAATTTTGTGTGTAAATGTGTGCTAGCACTGACAGGGAACCAAGCTCATGTGCTTGATTGCATTTCTGGCAAGCTTATGAGCTACGACCTGGCATTGTGTTTACTCGACCTCCAATGAACTGTTCATCAGTATTTTTATTCTTTGACTCCTTATTGAATGAAATAAATGTTCCGCGTGTTATTTTAGTTGTAGCTTCCAGCCTAATCCAAACAAATACCCGAATTCCATGCAACTGGTGTATATGAATATGACCATGATATTTGGAGTACATAAATAAGTGCACGAACTGGACCGTGGAGGATGATGTGGAGTGTCAACGTTTAGTGAATCAGACTATAACACAGTTGAGTGGCAGAAGGTAGACAGAATAAAGGACGTCGTTTACTAACAGGAAGCGGATTCTAAAATGCATAGCTGGCCAATTACCAGAACCCTCACGTGAAACGTCCCGCTCAATCAGGTCACGTTGTTGAAACAGAAAAGGCCATCTTACAAGAATATCCTATGGTGGGCGCAGTCAACCGACTTTAGAAATAAATCTTGTATTTTACGGTGGATGGTGTTAAGCGGCCAGCACTAGATATTCAGTCTGAGTATGGTATGTGTAATATATTAGGCATGTGACACATATCTTTGTCACATTCTCGTGGTTAGTCGAATGTCTTTATTATAAGTGTGGACAAAGCGGCTTGATATCACCTTGCGTTATCCACACAGTGTATTTTGAAACGTTTACGTAAGATTTTGTTAGATCGTTCATTTGCCCGAATGGAGGTTTTATGGTCTTCGATCCAACCGATGACAGGTAGTTATCTGAAGACTCAACACTGCGCAGCTATTCATCGAGTAGTCATAACCATATCGAGTAACTTGCTAGCCGTATGGAATGGCCAAAAGAATATGGTCTACAGACCAACATAACTTGCAAAAATCCTGAAGCAAACGGAAATGGACTACCCAAAGAGCACAAATTTACCTGTTGAAGTATTATGTCAAAATAAAAGTGGATGCCAGCGCACAATTTCAGAAATATTTCCCTTGAGATATTTCCGAAGATCCTTGAGAATAATATATGTCCATCAAAAACCCAACACCCTGAAACGTATCACAATGAAGCAAACTTTAGAAATGATATTGGGAAACATGCTTTTGTTCCCGCAAGTTAACCGTGAACACGAGTTTATTTGACCGATAAGTAGAATGGAAACGTCGATTCATATCTTTCTGTGTAACACAAATACTCGAAGTATTGGTAGTGCACTGATTAACTAGTGACAAGAATATCATACTGTGTGACTGAATGAGACTGTAACGAGTAATCTACCAGACTACAAACAGTTGCGTCAACCAGATCAGATGAATCATGGTATGAGCAGCTGACGCAATGTCCAAATTCACTCACCACCACCGATTTATGAAAATCAAAAAGCCCGCTTCACAATTTGAGACTGCAGTGATCACTTTGTGTGAAGTGATCGAGAGGCCGATGAATAGCTCACTTGCTAACAAAATCAGTTCGACTGAACCGACAATCGAATGGATATTTACCTACCATTGACAAACGCGTCCCCTTATTCCACTTCCGGACGTGAAGCGTGATTGTATTATTCACTCGTCTGACTTGATAAGGAATGGGTGAAACTAGTTCTTCACTCCTTCTGTTATCATAAAGACTGTCTGGAAGCCTGTTTGTTACAAATGCATCCGTGGTCAACCGTAAGTGCAATTCTTCCAGAGAGATATCCGATGACGTTCTGGACTCACGTGTTGTCGTATATAAAATGTGATATCCTAACATTGTTTATGGTGTAAAGGACAACGCAATCCGCTTTGACACCTGTGTTAATCCTAATGTGATAGAAAATAACCTCTGAAGAAGGAATGCATTTTCTTCACTGAACTGATCAAAGGACTTATAAGGATCACTAAGTTTTGATTTATGATGGAAAATTCCGAGAGAACTTCAGTCAAATGACTCTGAGGTCGCGACAGTTTTTACGTCTTTTGACTTGTGTGCGGTAAATCATGATTGAACTTGTTGGGGAAAATTTATTAGGGATATCCCAGGCATAACACAACTCATCTAATCGATGCTGAAAATTGTGATCTCCATGGAATTTCGAAAAAATCTATATAGCGATTGTCTTTCATAAGGACCACAATCTCGAAGGGATGAGTTTTGAGTTTCACTATTCACATGCTCTTTGGTAACCTTTACCCTTTAAAGTCAGTTGGTTGCAATGTTTATACGATAGATCAGTAGTACAATTAAACCATGAGTTATTCATGAAGGCTTTAGTTTATCTTGTTTTGAAAACTAAATTCACAGAAGAGACTAGTCAATGCACTTGAACTCCAGCGACCAAATGTCGATGACATCAACCTCGAAAGTCCTTTCTACCCAGCATTCGGATGTGACAAGTTGTTTTTCATTGATCACCTTCTGCCCACTGATTGCCCGTTATTCGGTCGATCCAATAGCTTTTTGACTGGTAATTACCTGAGTGCACATATATCTTCCTTCCCCGAAAAATTGCTTGTGTATGAATATGAATACTATGATTTGAGAATGAAATCACCCCAAATATGCAATCACTTGCAACCCATATCCTTTTATATAGTATTTGTTCGTGAGGATTTTCTGACTGTATCGATAAAAACCGGCTCTGAATATAGTCAACTGTGATTATTGATATCCGCATTTTACTACTAAGAATAATATTTACAATCTAATTACAGACTGAATAGTCACGATTATCGTGAAATTGTTGTTGAGCGGTATCAGACTAATCCTCAATAGTGGTTGACTATTCGTGATTGACGGGCAATTTCAGCATATTCTCAACTTGATACGGGTTTTATAGAAATGAATTATTCGGCATATAACTTCCTGACTTCAAAATATTGCATCGTTGTCTCCAAGGAAAACTCCATCTGTGTTGTGGATTCCGCGTTGGGGAAAATATAGGTGGATAGTCACTTAATAACGGACAGCCGGCTACACGTACATACGCATACACATGCAAACTCTTACTGACTTACTGTTCGACCGTCAATTAACCGACTGCATATATTTCTCTGTTCGCCTAAATATCAGCATGATGAACTGAAAATGGAATCAAGAAAAATTTAGTTTACACAGGTTCGTGAGCTTTACCTAACGGCATCAATAAACCCGGGTTTTGCATATTTTCAGCTCTAAGAAATGGTATCGGTATTTTGCTATGAAGAGTAATAATAACAATCTAATTACATACTGAAAAGTCATGATCATTGTGAAAGTGCTGTTCTGCGATATCAGACTATTTCCCAACAGTTGCTGAAAATTCATGGTCGACGGCCGATTTCTGCACTTTTGTAACGCGTTTAGGGCATTATGAGATTGAATAATTTGAAAGAAAACTCCTTATCTTCGAAATCGTTTGCTTTTTTCGCCAAGGTGAACTTCATCAATTTTGATGTTTTTTCTCAAAAAAAATCACAGATGGTTAGTCACCCAATCATTGACTGCTGACAACAAGTACGTAGCCGTACACATAGACAATCTTGTGGTTGCACACTGCTGTGTTACTTGTACTGTTCTAACCCGTTTGTCCTACTGACCCAATTGTGACTGCGTTCATCTGGTTTTGTGTGCTTGTTCTGAAACCCTGATGGTGCCGTTGCTTGTGTGTGCCATATCAACATTGAGTATGACTGGTTCTGTTTCTCTCGGTTGTGTCAGAAGCCTGTTGGGGCTCGTTATCGGTTTGCTTTACGTGTGCTCGTCATGCTGCACTTTTCTGCATTACAACAGTAACTTACTGATGGCTTCTTGGTAGTCTGCTCAAGTCAACAGCCCGTATTTCCAACTGATTTAGTGTAGATCCACGCTGTCTGTATTTTGACAGAGTAAACCTGACGATATTTGCTTAAAGTTTGTTACAATTTGTTTGGTCTATTACCCGCTCATTCTATCCCATTGTCTTTCTTATGAAGCCTCTTTCTGATCACCTGGTGTTCTCAGTTATTGATCGTACATTGCGTCCAATAGTTCCGGTTACACACGGTTACTTTCGAATTTTTATGTTTGATATCGACAAAGATGATAGCAGTTGTTTTTGGAGTTTTCCTAAGTCAGCCAAAACATCCGTCACATTGTCTGCTTAAGTGAAAATCAACGAAATCGATAAATACAAATCATGATTTAAAAAGAGCAATCATTCGCACTGGATCTGTTATACAAATGTGCCGAAGTATTCCGACAACCTTGGTAGTTGCATTTTCACGAAAGTGATCCTTATTACTGTGATTGAGCTGGATAACCCGACTTGACGTGCACATACAATCACTCGGAATTTCTTCTCGTATAACCGAAACAGTTGAACAAGTTGTTTAGATCCTGGAAAGGGTTGGGTAATCGTTCTACAATCCTCATCACCCCCAGGCATGTTTGCACACTCCGTACAAGGCAAATTCACCTCAGAGGAGTACGAAGCCACCCTAACAGCTTACCACAAGGCAAATAGGTCCCCTATCACTGGTGCAATCACGTTGATGTAAGAGTAGTGATGTAGCCTGTATTTTGGTCTGACATTTTCACATAGTCATTCTGGCTCATCATAGCTAATGTGCCTCAGATATACACTTGCAAATTTAAGCCTACATTATGTGCATAGCTCACCCTGATTCAAACAAAGGGATTTTGCGTGTTTGTATAGTTGTGGTCGAACCACTTTGTCTATAGGCGCATCCCATATACGTGCTCAAGTGTACGTGTGAGGAATGCCAATTGTTCTGGGCCAAATTAGGAATGACTGCGTGAACGTGTCAGGACGATAGGTGGATGCTGATCTTATCATGTTCGCATACATGATGGCAAACAGCTTGCCTAGCGATCAGCAATTAAGATGACTTGCTGTGCCACTGTAGAGATTGTTACTTGTCAGAGAGATGCAAGCGTGCCTGGCTGTGATGATTAGTAGACAATTACTCGGTTCTTTTCAGGACCTAATCGATGAAATTAACTGTATGAACTGTTAAAAAAATCCCATGGATCTTGTAGTACACGGATTGAGAGGGCATTGTCTCCAATTCATTTTCAAGCTTTTGCGATGATGCTTACGACATGAATCATCAGTTGGGATTTCACGTATAGAATCACACAAAGTTGTCTCAAACCAGTCTATTCAAATGAACTTCCTGACATCAAGAGCACCCTTTTTCAATAAAGTCTAATAACTGAACATAAACATGAACGAACAAGTGAATAAATCTTATCTGGGTTCTCGGGGAGACAAGCAAGTCCACATAGAGTGCGCAATGGGTGCACTGTCTTGGTGAAGTAGTTGTCTTGGCAAAAATACTTTAGGATGGATAAGTACACCACAACGATCAAAAGTGCTACTAAAGGGAACATCTACATGCATGGAACATCCTTAGACAGTTATCCCATATTGAGTCTATGCTGACTCAGAGACTGAGTTCGACTTGAGAGGTCGTTGGAAAAGCTATCAATAAAGTGTACAGCGTCATTCGTGAGAGTATGAGATTCAACGTTTTTATCAACGAGAGCAATGTTCCGAGGGAACCTATGAGATCGAAAACAGCAACGAACGGTTACAGTTAGTGCGTAGCACACGGGAACTAATTATTCGCTCAAGGAGTTCAACTGACAGAGTTCGCAATCATTGACGGATATTCGTCTCACATCTCTGACAATCAAAACCCAAAGATAATAATCGCTTAAGTGGTATGTTCAACTTTTAGTTAATAAAATTTTGTCACGGATTTATCCAGTCAGATGAATGTTCATCTTTCACGGATAACATAGCTTCCCAATCGGCTGGGCAGGTTGCCTCGGATGGGTCAGCTTATTGAAAAATGAGCGAGAACATATTCATATGAATACATCTAAATAGGCCATCGGAAGTAGTCAGTATATTCGTGACTCAAATTCGGGGTTGAAGTTTGCAATATTGAAGTAATGATTATTCGTAAATACCGATTTCCTTATTCTTGATTTTGCGTAGGCAATCTGGCCTCTAATTTTGGTTGAGGTAAGAATAGTTCATAAATCTTACTGACAATGATGTTAGTAGCCAAAATAGACACAAATCTCCCTCAGGTTTCACTCTAGTGGAACGGAGTTAAGCGAACAGAATTACGGTCTCAGTTTTCTAACGCAAATTTTATGCTTGTTCTGTACCGACCCACTTGTTTATTTTAAGATGCAATTTCTGTCTGCCAGCCGTTTCACTGTGGCAGACAAAGATAGGCAGTTTCTATAAAATGACTGAAACAGATAAATTGTAGGAAAAGCAACGATGCAAAACATTTTTTGTGAACTAGTCTTCTGAATGACTCTTTTATTTACAAACCCCGTTGGCTGATTTCTTCCCATTTACTTCCAACGAGTATTGCTAACTGGCTGGTTTATTTCGTTCCATTTCGGCAAAACAACTACTCGCTACGGAATGGTTGATTTTGTCCAGTTTAGTTACAATAGATCAGGTGATCAACCTGGTTCACAGGATCCAGCTTTTCTATCGATTGTGTATCTTCATTACCATGCAGACTTAGTGAAATACCTTCACAAGGTTGACCCTGGAGAAGATTACGTTCCCAGAGAGATCCTGTGAGAACTCATATACTTGTGAGGTCGTATACCAGCGAGGAAGAGTAAAGTGGCTGACAGCCCTGCATTTTCCACAGACTTTTCAATCTCTGGATGACTTCAGGACCATGTACTAAGGCGAGGTGGTCTAATGATGCCAAGATTCATCACGTGTTCGAATTCGAGCCATGTTATGCGGAGTTCGTCAGGATTGAGTCAGAGCTTTTGAACCTGAACAGGTTGAACTTTGATGATGATGTAGTGAGGCATTGCATGAGATACGGGAACGTTGAACGCAGGTGTTTTTGTAATTGATGGAAATTTCGTCAAGATGTCAGCGAACCATGATTGCGTGAATGCCAGTGGCATACCCATGCCATTCCTCCAACTGGCAATGTCTATAACGCAAATCTTGGTTGTAGTGTCTAAGAGCTTTCAATTTGAAGGGCCCGCTGTTACACTAAATTGTGAGAGAAAATCCGCACCGACACAGGGAGTCTGAACATCCGTTTGGATGAAAACCCAATGAAAATCATCGCCGGAGACCTAAATTGAGAGCAACCGACCGTGGGCCGAATGTGAGATAGACGGTTTGCACTTAGAGAGCTAGCCGTAGTCACCACCCTGACAGGCTGGCTTCGTCGGAAGTAAGGAAAGAACATAGGGGACCACAGCCGTATGCCTGAGGGTTGACTGTGCGAAGAAACTAACACCATGTTTGTAACCGGCCATATCGGTACCTTGAATCAGGTCTATGACGTACTTCCTCTGACGCATGCCGTCGAGTAGCTAATGCACCGCATATCGCCACTGCTCGATTGAACAATTTGAGAACGGGTAACATTCCGTTAATATATAAGCGTGTTGGGCCAACTCTTCAAGAAATGAGTAGCAGAGGGCTCCAGCATTGATTAAGCTTGGTGTATCGGGAGACATAGCTTGTCAACACATATGTCCCGATAAATGGTGTCACCTGTGATAAAGTCCAACCAGCATGGACCGAATGCGAAGCATAGGTTGAAATGATGTTCGGTCTTCAAGAATAAGTGAAGTAAATAGCTCGCGGAGCACTTTGCCCGGCGATTACCCAGTGCGCAGAATCACTGCTCCTTGAGCTTGCTGTGTGCGGACTTTGATGAGATGGGGTGGAGGAGGTCTTCCCCGTCGACGACGTCACAAAGGATCGCCTGAAGGAAGTGAGAATATCTGGAATACTAGTTGTTTATGCGTCAAATATCCATTACTGCTCCTGTCTGTCTGAACCACACTCGAGCACTGGTCGCAGCGAAAAAGAAGTGGATGTCAATGGATTCCGGGTCAGACATGATTTTCGAATTGTGCATTGACATGGATGTCAAAACAAGAAAGCCGAGGGTTTTTCATGGCTGCCGTCAGACGAAGTGTACCTGAAAGAAAAAATAACGTTTGGTGGCTCAGATTTTTGTCCATCACTGAGGCCCCCGCCCATAATTGCTCAGCTAGTCAACAAGAGGATAAACGGGCTTGTTCGATGCTGACTCCAGCTGGACCAGTAGAAGTTCCGTCGAGACTGCGGGCCAAAATTGCTATTGATATCATAAGCCCTTCAGTGACGCTCTCATTCGCCAAAAGAATCTGCTGGCAGCTGAGTAATTTTTCAAGTGGCCAGAATATGACTTGTGTGGTAAAGTGATTACAGCTTGCATGATTCGATGGCTTAGGTACATGCTTACCAGACACACACATCAGATCATCCGACCACCTGGCACCATTGCACGCACAACTGAACCTGTTTCACTTTTGGTATATATATATATATATATATATATATATATACCGAATTTTGAACAGATTCAAATGAAGGTGTAGTGGTCCATCCTGTGGAAAAGATCTGATTTGGAGGGAGGTGTTCGCTTGAAGTTAACGGGACCGCTAACGTTTAGCCATTCGGTACTGTCGGGCATTTCTGGCTGCCGTAGAGGATGATATATGAATAAGCTTAACTCACAGATTCGAATCAGCCCGGAAGGGAGCTGGGAGGTGTGGTGGGGCTTTCCAGGTGAAGTGCTTGGACTGGAGCTTTGCGTGCCGCGATGATATGCACCACTGGTGAACTCTAACAAGAGTTAAATTCGGGTCTGATGCTTCTGAGTACAAGGTGGTTGGATGACTTGAGATTTGTGCGTGGAAGGTGGAGTTCAAATGACAATCAGCCAAAGGAGTATCATCGAACCTACACACTATCCGACAATTATTCCGAGATACATGATGTAATAAACATAGATAATGGCGTTAGTCTCAGCAAGATGAAAACTTAACTTAAACCTTATCTGAGACAAAGTACGATGAAACACATTTCATGAGTTTTTGGAAACAATCGTTTTAAACACCGACTTTTTTGAACGACCTGGACAGAAAACTGGGGCTTATGCATACTTCCGCCGTAAAAAGAAATTTCCGAAATAAACTCTTGAATGACACTGAAGCCGCAAGACTCACCAGGCCGGTTAACCTAAGCCCCAGAAAGTAAAATAAACTTTGTTTATGGAATATAATTTAGGATACCTTGAATAAATTAGGATTCAATATGCTTGATAGATCAATTTTTCTGTCAGGATCGAAAATTCACTAGGGAAGCTGTTTCCTTGATGACTCGAGCCATGTTTCACACGAGATTTTGCATCATGCAGATGTGGACAAGTCTATGCGTTTGCTGTAAAGTGTTACAGTAGCAAACCTAGTTGAAAACTTGACGATTCAAACTTCACAATTCCTTGCTACAAGCCATTATTCCAGTGTGGTTATGAAACTATTCCCATGTGACTTAAATTTTAGAAGGATGGGTGAATCCTACCAGAAAGTTTACCCAAATTTTGCCTTTTTACCAAATGGATGGATAATGGAAAGCTCCATATTTCAAACCCAACTTGGATGTTCCAGTTTGTTCATTGCAATAAACTTCCAGAAAATATAAACACGCTAGTGTCGACGGTCACTGTAGGGTCCTGATTCCAAATGGTAACTCATTCATCGTTTGCACAGGATCCCGATGACTAGTATGTGTAGTACGCTGTGAAATCATCCAGGCACCTCAGCACACGGTAGATGGTCAGGATAGTAACAATGTAAGTATTTTGGATACGTCAATTGCCATAATTTTCGAATGACGGAAGGAACAAAAAGACGGAGCATAATAATTTATACCATCATCAGCGGAATCCGTAAACACGTGAAGAACTGAAAATATTTGCCGGATTCAGCCCGAAGAGTTGTTCTTAAGGCAAAGTCGAGAAATCTCACGGTAACTTCATCGCATTCCGTTTAACGACATTCCCTCAGTGAAACAACCAAGAACTGAACTTACACGAAATTGACAAATAGAACAAACGGCCATAAAATATGCCCATCGATTCATGCAAAAAACGTGTAACACAAAGAAATTTCCTTTCGATATATCACTTCAGGCACTGACATATATAATGCTGAGTAAAAGAGAGCATATGTGCAGCTGAAGATAGCAGAGAGTGAGTAAATGTACAACAAATCCGGTAACTCGAAAACATGCATCAATTTGATGAATCTTGTTCGTTGTGTGAACGACAATAAGTGTGAAATGTGTAACCAAAAGGCGTGAAAAGACAGGTGTGAAAAACAAAGGTGTGAAAAAAGATGGGAAAAAGAGGTGTAAGGCTGGGGAGAATTTGTACATGGGAACCATAAGAAAATCACTTGTTACGGATTACGCAGGCGGTTCCTGATGACGTCATAAGCCATAGCAATTCAACTAGTGAAGCCGGATTTGTTGTAACAACGTAACCTCGTGCAACAGTTGTTGTTGCCGTGGCCGCAACAAGTGATTTTCTTATGGTTCCCATGTACAAATTTTCCCCAGCCTCGCACCTCTTTTTCACATCTTCTTTTCACACATTTGTCTTTTACACCTGTCTTTTCACGCCATTTGGTTACACATTTCCCACTTATTGTCGTTCACACAACGAACAAGGTCCAACAAACTGCCTCACACAACGTTTCAAAACGATCACACAAACATGGTTCCATTAGGCGAGCATGTCAATCATTGAATTTGTCCAAGTATGTTTCCAGATTGGTCAGTGTGTGTCGCAAATTCATTGCAAAATGGTCTCACCTTACGCAGGGGCTTTACTCAGAACGACATCTACTATATTTGGATTGAGGTTCATTCATTCTCTCAGACCACAATGTATTTAGTCTTATCTGATCGATATATCTGTTCAGCTATTTCTTCCCAAAATCTAGGTATCACTTAAACATACCTGCCGACAAAGTCAGCTCTTGGGTTTTCTACATCCCATACATGTGCTCCTTGGGTCTGAAACCATGATCCTTTCCCACCTTGCTTGTCGTATTCTTTTCCAACCATTTGTAACAGTCCATGTATTCCCCAGAACTGCAATGTGAAAGCCGAATTGGAAGAAAAGGATATATTCCGCAACAAGAAGTAGGTGTAGCCAACGTTAAAAAACTATAGATGCCAATCGTAGGGTTAGGTGAGCAGGGCGAGAATCATCAGCTCTTTCCAAACCTAAGAATCGGAATACAGCGAAAGGAGCTTAGCGGGTGGTGTGACTCACATATAGAAACTCCATAGCGGATGTTTCATATGCAGGCTAAGTCCCTAGGAATTTAATTTATTTACTGAATGTTGCAAATTTAACAAAATACACTAATCGACAAAACTGAACACTGGTTCATGTCTTGTTTCTTCGATCGTGACGCTTTTTGGACGTTGCCCCTGACTCTACCGTTGTGATTGTTAATTATCTTGAGCATTGTTCGACTTCACTTTGCGCTTGCTAGTCGTTTTGGTCGAATAATTGAGGTTTCGTATATCTTATATGTTGATACTTTGTTATTCTTATTCCGAATAACATTCTCGTCAACTTTGTTCTGCTTTGCGATCAGTCAGTTCCGTTACACGTTACTCGACTACGTAATAATGACTCGGTGATTAGAATCTACTTGGATGGGAGCGGAATGGTACACTGGTAACACACACTCTGTCGAGGTGACAAAGGCTTGGAGGATATGCACCACTGATGAACTCTGACAAGAGTGAAACTTGAGTTTGATACTTCCGAGTGTAGGATTGATCGGATGACTTGCGATTTTTTGTGGAAGGCGGACTCCAGATCAGAGTCATCTAAGTTTCAATCATCTCAAACCCTACTCGCGATCATATGATATTTATAGAACAAATGACTTCACTTATTGGAAGGTTGGACGTTGAGGGACATTTCATGCATATCTAGAGGGTTCTAATACATAGTGATACCTAATATTCGTAGCCATCTTCCACATTGTATTTCCAAAGATGTCACTATCAACGAAATGTAACGAACCCTAATTGTGAGAATCAATGAGAACGAGAAGACCAATAGATTTCAATTGCATCAATAGAAGGAGAACTTCTATTAGTTGTTCAGCTTCTCCCTGGAGGCCACATTTCAGTTGAAAATTGGTACGATCTAGTACAGTATAGGTAGTTGAGGATCAAATAGGACAATGAATGTGAATGTGAACACAGCACCTAAAATGAAGATTTACGAGCTATTCATTCATTTTTTCAAACAACAGTTTTTAGATACAGTTGTTCTTGTGCTTGTCTGTGTACTTACTTCGTACCTAAATGTGCCTAAAATTAGTATCTTTTCCTAGAAGTTTTTTTGAATAACAAACCTCTCGTGAGATTATATGCACATAATAACTGCTGTCAGTCGTGGGCGCAAAGCATAGAATGTCACTTGCTGCTTTGCTGAGTCCGATGCAAGCGACGTGAGTGTCAGTTTCCAATATCATAACTTCACTAAACAATGTGATGAGATTTCGTGAAAAGAAATGTTTTCTACTTTCTTGCAACCTACTACAAAATTCCACAGTGTTTCATTCTTAGCTTTTTTTAAATTGGTCCTGTAGCATTCTTTCTGTGAGGCGGATAACCAGATAAGAATATAGCTGCCGATTAATGAAATACATGCACGTATTCCAGAAGGAAATCAAAGCTCTACAGGTGATGGGGTAATTCCGAAATTTATATTGCATTTATCATTAGTTATTCTCTGTGGGCAAAGAGATGAAGCGGGGATTATTCTAAGATAATCAGATCGACTGGTAAGTCTCAGCCTATTGTTATTGGCCGCCATTCTCATACATTCTGCTGCCACTAATTGTGCCTATTGATGCACTAACTCAACTTCGGCTCATCAGGTTTTCGTACTAGCAACATTTGTAAGCATCGTACCCTGGGAAGCCCCAAGAAATAGTCCTTTATCCAGCACATATACGACGACCACAACAGTCTCTGAGTTTAGGAGTTGAACCCTTGTCATTGCCGTTATCAACGTAGTCCTTTCCGAAGTGTCCAATGTGCTTTTGATACCTTTTTGCAAAACCATCAACCTGTGTTCTGAGCACGGAGCCCTGCTGGAGTTTACGTTTTTCTGAAACTCCCATACCGGATATTCTCCTGTGGTTCTGAATTATTGGTCTCAGTACCATCGTACTGCTGTCGGTCACGGCTGGCCCCGATGGACTTGCAACTTTCATTCATTTTTTACATTCAGGATTTTCCAAGGCTTCCTCACTGTTATCCCTGTATTTGCTTAAACGTGGCAGCTTCAAAAAACAGAAACGGGACAAAAATACTTTGGCAATTGGTTTATTCTCACTGGAAATCCAGGCGATTAAAAAATAAGGAACCTACTGCATTCTCCGTCTTTGGAAGATGATATGAAATAAACTGGTGGAATCAAAACACCACTTCTCTGTGGGTTTATTTCTGTCCATCATAATAAACATTGACCTGCATAGGTTTGCTTTCCATTCCTGAGAAAGGTTACAATGGAAGTTGGACTTATGGTGACAAAAACGCAAATAGTACGGTCAGTAGCACACTTGTGCTACTGGCTTGTATTACAACAGCCCACCATCCAGCTATGCCCAATAGCTCTCACGTGAGATTTGAGCTGCATGAAGGATTGGTGTAAATTGTATCAACGATATCGGCACCGTTCGACAGACTTCACAACACAGGCACGAATTTCCGAATTCAGAGATTCCAGATATTCCCGAGAGAAAGGCAGCTTTTGACTCAGTGAATCACGTGATTCTCAAGAAATTATCTCGTTGAAAGGCGTGTTAGCTAAGTTGATCTTTTTGTGCCTACGCTTTTGAAACTGAGTTCGGGTTCATGGTAATATCTAATTCGACCTCACCATGGCACTTGGTGCACGTCAAGACTGCTCGCACACACCTGTTGTTGGGACTGTTACTTATAAAGTCCGAAAGACCACCTTATCTCCATGTGCGAGTAGTAGCACTTAACTCTTTTCCGGTAGAAAATGCTGATCCTTGAGTACGGGGATTGACAGTAGTTCTCCATCTAATAATCCGAATTGGTTGCAAACATCCGAAAATACCATGATCAATACCCACGGTGAGTCTGACACTTTCCAAGATCAAGATTTCTCTGAGGGACTAATCCGGTGTATTATGAGTGCTACTCACTGAATAAATAAGTAGCTAATTTCCCAAAATCAACTGTGAACAATTATGGAACGAAAACGAGAGTGAATACTTCACGCAAACGGAGCAAGATAAGATGAGTCCAGGCATACAAACCACGTGATTGCATCTACCGATGGAATGACACTGCCTTCAAGTTCTAATGTGTCACGAGGATTATTATACTGGGTCTCCAGATACACGCATCCCTTTGATAAACCGGAGACTGACTAAGCAGATCCGCAAACAAGACTGACTCTGTTACATTTTCTCAGCGGTGATAACGTATGGTATCATGGTGACGTCCATGTAACACTCACCCCAGTTCTTTCATTCGGCTCTAAAATATATCACTAATGGAGAGGGTAAGGCTCGCTACTGTCTAATAAGGGCTTGGTGGTTAGAGCCCAAATAATACGATGAGTTCGGGTCATGAGCAAATAACTGGTGAACGCAGTGCTCTCGACCTCTGAACCACTGACGTTTCTTCTCTTCCCTCGAATTTTCGATTGCATGACCCAACTGGTCCAGTGAATGTGTGCCGTCTATCTCCAGTTATTCGGGGCTGTCCGGGAAATTCACAACGACCAACAAGTCAGAATTTACAAATAATTGCACTGATTGATGCACAAAGCACTCACAGGGTTGATAAAGTAGACCTTACCAATGATAGTCCACTAAATGAGATATAACTGCAAACCGAAAATTGACATTCAAATCACAGCATACAAGATATGGGGATATATTGGCCACGGAGTTATTACTTCTCAGATAAACACAGTCGAACATCAGAAACGTGACAAAATTCTTTCGTCCCAGAAACCTACGAATATGAGTTGGCAAGCAAGTGGGAGCTGCTTCATCCAAAGTGTCAGTGGGGAATCTTCGCTATTAAAATTTTAAAAATCAAGTTGGGAAACAGCATTATGCCACTCCGGGAGTGAGTAATCAACTTGGCAACGAATCCAGGTAAATTTGATCTAGAGGCCGACGAACACTGCTAGTTAATCAATTTTAATATTTCCTATTTGTAGTCGGCTTCCAGCCTCCATCTATGCTAGGACTCTTGACCCTATTCTGTCTCACCTAGGAATTTCTTAGTACTTCACCATTCTGACGCCCACTGATGGGATCCACGAGAGGGCTCACATATTCATAATAGCAATGTTGCGCATTCACATCGAAAAATACTATCTCGTGTGAATATTCTCTCCACCATCACTGGATCAAACCATAAATTACCTGTTTTGAAACGTTCAAATACACTTTCTCATAAAATGTTTTCTAAATAAATATTGAAAATATCCTCTGTACCGTAGAAGGTGACATGTCAACCGTGTAACTATAACAATAGGAACAATCCTTCTCGACATAACGGACCAAACGTTTGGCTTGTGCTAAGTAGCCTAAATTTGTTTAATAACTGTGTTATTCTCCTTTTTACCTTTGAATTTTATCCTATGCAAAAATTTCTCCTTTCGTGTAATTATTGTTTTACCTTGGTAATAATACTAACGGGGAACGTTCTCATGAGAGAAAAAAGGCCTACCAGTTCCCAAAACAATAGCAAACAAATGGTTATTTCGAGTTATTTGGTCAAAACCTACCATTACTGCAATACTTATCGCCAGGAAACCCCCCGGTTTTTTCTTCACATGTGATATGTTGATAATTTGCCTTTGTATGAGTACCGATTTACCACAACACTTCTAACTGCGATCTCGAATCTACGGATCTGGGCTGTTACCCACTGAGCTAGACGTGTTGGCCATTTTGGATATTTTAATGACCAAACTCCTGATAGAAAGATGCAGTGTATTCATTCCCTTAGAGTAAACTGGGTTGGTCTTCACTGATATTTTTCCTATTCATCATTGATTGCTAATT